GCGTTTTGCATGCCGAGCGCAAAGCGCATAGGTATGTTCTACTAGCGCCTAAAAATCAAGATTCCAACGTTTTGTCGCATGAAATCGTATCCAGCAATCATGTTATACATATAAGTGATATAAAAAGCACATTGTCAGAAAGATAAATGATTGTTGAACTTATAAATATTTTTTTTATCGATTAATTGCTATTTTTACATAAAAAGGGGTTTTAGTAGCTTATGGTGTGGATTTATCAAGTCCGCAAGGCTTGTAAACACGATAACTTTTGAAAATATCAATTGTTGAACTCAATCTATTTTTTAATCTCTTCATCTATCATGTGGGAAGCCACTGAATGTAAATGGCAGTGTAATTTTGTTTTGTTTAGCTATAATTAATTTTTTTCGGCTCCAAAATGGCGAAATTTTCGTTGATTTGGTAGCCTTGTGTTAGAATTTATTTCAGTAAATAGAGACTGCCTGTGCCTCACTCGCGTCGCTTAGTTCGGCGTCAACAGTAATCTATGGCGTCAACTGCCGTTGTGAGTGGATACTGTATCGGTGGTTTGCAGCGGCTCAAAAAGATGGCTGTACAAATAAATACAAAATATTCGAAAAACAAATTTCATACATACTTGATTATTATAATAATCAGAGATTTTTATAACAATATTTTAAGAGCACAGAATAAATAATAGTAGTACGTACTAAAAGTAAGTAGGATGTAATATTTATACTTGAATACGTCTTGGACTTTTTGGAGTGACATGAATGATGATATGATGATCATATGAGCATTGTGAGTCGTGCACTTTGGATTTTCCAAACTTTTTGACGTGACAACGTCTTATAATTCGATGAAGCTGGCTGCACGCACGAAAAAACATGACTCATGCGGCGTTACCTCGCTCTGAGGCGTTCCATTTAAGGCTTGAAGTGCAAGCGAGAGCGCGGAACGAGCGACAAAGAGGCACAATCGGCCTCCGCGTTCGGCAGCGTTCGACATCTGTCTCTCTCCTACTTGAGTGAGCGATGCGTCCGCATGGACAGCTGCTATACACTAATACATTTACATGTTTTCGTCAAGTATGAAGTGCAGTTAAAAGTGAATGTGGTGTCAATTGTTTATAGCAACATTTTCTTATGACGTTGTCACGTTCAACTATCGTCAGTAAACCGACTTTACAGACAACCGATTTTTCAAATTGAAGTTTGACATAAAGTTATCGGAAAATTGAAAGTATAATAAGGTTATTAGTGAAAACTTGTGTGTATTTAAACTACTTTTAAAAAATTCCGTATAATCATGCTATACGTATTTTTTTTAATGGGAAAGCATGCTCAATTGCATTTACCAATTTTTATTTTTGTACTTACAAGTATAGTATGTATATGTTTATATTTACGTTCACGTATATATTCTCAAGTTTTTATGGCACCTGCTTAGGTTTCTCTGCTTAGCTTGTGGTTGACTGGTAGAGAATACCTAAAGGCATTAAGTCCGCCAATTGTACATCTTAAGAGCAATAAAGATTTTAAATAAATAAATATCCTAGATGGAATAATATTTTTTTATAGACGTAAGAGTAACCAACTATCATATCTACAGTTCAACTTATGGTTAGCTGATGCTGTGGGCCACAGGACACCAAGGTGTGTTCTCTTTTTTTATACGATAAGGGTGACAAACGAGCACACAGTCCACCTGATGATAAGTGGATGCTGCGGCCCATAGATATCTACATCTATCGTCGATTACAAATCAATATGCAGATACGTTGTCACCCGTGAGGACTAAGATGGAATGCCTCATTTCCAGTAAAAAGGGTCTCCGGTTCTCTACACTCACCATACGAAACACAGCAGTGTGAAGCTACCATTTTATGCTAGTATTCTGTGAGAGCGTGTTCCTTCCCCGGTCGAGCCGACCCATTCGTGCTACAACTATACTACTAATATAGCTGCAGCATGGCTCTACCGAAAAGATTGAGATTTAATATGCAGATGTGTTATTACCAGGTGACTAAAATGGTGATGACACTTTGTTATTTTACTAAAAGGACAGATAATGAAGATGTACTTATTATTTTAAATAGATATAAACTATATCTTTGTACCGGGAGAGAAAACACTAAAATATTATGTTTTGTATCTTTTCATCTTGATCATATACGAGTATGATCCAAAATTTCCATTTGCTAGGACAGCTATGTATGTGGCATAACTGACTCGGAGTCGGCCATGTTAATGGGTAAAATAGATATATAATTAAAATTAAAAAAGTTAAAGTTACAACCTATATTCGTCCCACTGCTGGGCGCAGGCCTCCTCTCATTTCTGAGAGGGTTTTAGGGCAAAGAAATGTCTGCCGCGCTGCCCCAATGCGTGTTGGCTAACTTCACATGTCTTCGAAATAATTTTTTTTCTTATTTCTCAGACATGCATCTTTTCTTCACGATGTTTTCCTTCACCTCCGAGCAAGTGGTAAATCAGCACTTAAAATTTCAATTAACAATTTCATTGGAGCCGGCAGGGATCGAACCCGGGTATGGGTAAAATTACTTATATGAAATTAAATAGATATATAGGTATAGGTAAAATTGCTTAAGTAATGTTTTGTTTTTTTTTAAGGTTTGACTAAGACTAATTTATCCATTATTGCAAATCATTAACCATAACTGTAATACGAAACGAAGTTTAATGTCAACAAAGTATTCATGTTCCCGTAAGGGTATCCCGATATTGGTCCAGCTGTTTCTAAAATGAGTCCAGAGTCCAGAGGCTCGTGCAAACAAAATATTAAAGTATGGGTTTGTTCTATCATACTAGTCAACATACTAAAGAGCTTATAAAATACAGACAAATCGGAATAGTAATAAATACAAATATGGGGATCACGAATTTATAATTAAATGAAAAACTATCCATACTTTGCAAATGTAAAAACAATTTGTATTGTTAGATTGGAAAACATTATCAACCAGTAATTTAACTACTTAACAAAAACAATATTGTAGTAATAAGGTAATTGAAGTTTCAAAATCTTTTGTTTTTATAATGCGCATCATTCTTTGCATTGCGAAATATTTGCTAATAATAAGTAATAATAAAATGATAAAAATAAAATAATTTATTTTTCTTCACAAAACTTAAAATAATTACATAGTTGATTGGGGTCTCCATTTAAGCAAGTAATGCCTGTGTTTGGAAACCCCGCTCTGCCTTATTTAAACATACATTTTTTAATTCTAAAAACCAAAATTTACAAAAATTAATTACTCTATTTTAACAACCAAAAATTACAAAAATTACAAAAGTATATGTGTGCATGTTTGCGTGTGCGTGTGCATGTGGCGTGTGTGTGTACGTGTGTGTTATGTCACAGAATTAATAATAGGTTATGTGTTGTATTTAGTGTCAGAACACTAAAATGAAGTTAAATCTAAAGGTATCCTACAGTAAATGCCTTTTTACAGTCACTTTTAGATTAAGAGAGTTAACTTTAGAATTTACCTTTTTTTTTCTCTGTTTGTCTGTTCGATACAAATTTTGCCATCAATTTTAAGCTAACCTTCCGATGAGTTGGTAAGAAGTGCTACATTTTGAATTATAATAATTCTGTTATTTGTAGACGAGAAAGTTTTTTGTGAAGTGAAATATACTCGTAAGGTCGGGGAAAAAGTTTCTTCGTACTTTATATACAAATACAAGGCATTTTTTTTTTCAATGTTTAATTTCATTTAGTTATAATACATAGTACCCAAAGATGTTTTAATAGTACCATTTTAATCGATGACTTGTTGCCATCTTGTAGGTAGTGAAATTTTGGGATTTTTGATCAAAACAATGCGACAAGTAGGTAGTTTTGACAGTCCTCTATTCACTTTAACCTAAGACTACCCAAAGATTTCTGAAGAGACCGAAACAGGTGAAAATCTGAGGGTGCAAAGTCAGGACTATTATGGTGGATGCATTAATACTCAGAATTTTTGCTAAGTGGCCAAAGATGTGTGTGGTGTGGCGGTATCATGATGAAAGACCACTCCTTTTCTGTTGATCAATTCCGGCCGTTTTTTTCTAAATTTCTTGCTTGAGTCTCATTAGTTGTTGTCAGTAGAGGTCCGAATCGATGGTTTTGCCCGGCGGTAAAAGCTCATAATAAACGATGCCCGTCCAATCCCACCATACACATAGCATCACCTTATTGTGTTAATGAGGGTTTCGCTACAGTCTGTGGAGCTTGACTACCCTTTGACCATGATCTTTTTCGCACGTTCTTATCGTAGATGATCCACTTTTCATCACCAGTGATCAATCTTTTCAAAAATGGTTCGGTTTCATAACGTTTCAATAGAGTATCGCAAATGAGTAGGTACACGTGTTCTTTTTTTTTCAGTGAATATATGGGTAGCAACGAGCGTACCCAAATATTGAGTTTTATTTTTAATTTTTAACGACTAATAGATTAGGAGACGCTGCTGCCAAACTCCTGATTTGTATACCTCTGTCGCCTCGTACGACGCCCACGGGATGTTATGGGGTAATGGTAACATACACCACCGCTTTACTTATATCAAAAGTGTACTGCTGAACATAGGCCTCGTCCATATTTACCATAGTTTCCACCGCTTGGCAGGCGGTTGCCAACCCGCCTGCCAAGCGGTCTTTATCAAAATAAATACCATACCGTGGGTACCTCAAAAGGTACCCACGGTATGTTATAGAGAGGTAGTGGATTTTCTTTAACCCCCACTGCATGGCTACATAGTTATTTTAATAAATACTCAAATCGAAATGTTAACAAGTCCATATAAATGTTAGAAAATGCTTGGTATCTCTAGAAACCTGTTGTCCATTACGTGTTCAAACTTAATGTGAGGAAAAAAGACGTCACACAACGAAATATTTAATTTAAATGATAAATGGTAATATCCGACCTCGGACGAAAGGCCATTCCTTATCTCCATTGCTAATGCTCACAACTAAAATACAAGTTATGTGAGTCGACGTCAGTTCAAAATGGCGCTCAGAATCGGTGTCAGTTTTGTGAGGTTGAATTATCTACGACATGCCGTTAGGGTGAGTTGAATTACATTTTATTTAATTAATTAATTATATCCTCTATTAATATGTTTCTTTATTATAATTTAAAATAGAAAATTTAAACAAAAATAATGCAAGGAACTGCCAGAATTAAAAAGATTTAAGATAAATCATTGTCTTTGATATATGTTATTTGATAAATTTATAGTAATAGAAGCCTTATTTAGGTGTTTACATTAAACTTTTCACAAACAAAATGATAATGTTATCTGATGTCATCAATCAAAACATTTAACTCATATAATTTTAAGCTTTATCATTAGCAGCAGTAAGTGAATATTTTACTAAACTGTATGTAGGTACATAATTTGTTTACATTTTTAATTAGTAAAATGACGTTTATGGTAGTTTATGGTAGTTTTCGGTTACTTAGAAATAGTAGGTGATTTATATTTCGTAAAAATTAAACTTTTTTTACTAAGTATTATACGTACCTACTTAGTGATTTACACAGTTATACTAGCTCAGGGGCCAGTGAATCAATGAACTTATGTAAAAAGTTTGTTATTAAAAAATAAATAAATAGATTTTATTACAGTTTACTAAGTACCTATATCTTTTTTCCTTATTAACAATAATGCACACATTGCATAATCTGCGATATTTTCAACGCTACTGAGAAGCATTTAAAAAGTTTGTATTTAAGGTATATAATAGAAGAACGCCGACGGCTTAGCTTTCCATTGACGTTAGTCGAGTTGGGTGTTGATACGTATTTTTACAGAAAAGTTACACTATTATAAGCACACACACAAAGTTTCAACATGCGGAAACGCGTAATTTTTGAGAAAAAAATTATTGAAAACTAATTATTCTTGCAATGTTTATATCTAATTCTACTGTAAAACTGGCGCCATTTTATAATGTCAGTGTCGACGTCAATAGGGATGTCGATTCTTTCCGAAAAAGGTCGATTTTTAAATCGATTCAAATCGTAAGCTGATGTATCGTTTCACAAAAAGTCGATTTCTAAAATATCTATATTTTTTTAATGTTTCTATTTATAATGTAAATATAAACCCATTTTATGAAAAACAAGAAAGGTACCATGATAAATGATTTCTTATTGAAATTTGTTTTATTTAACAGTACCTATTAGGGCAGATAACAAATGAAATAGGTTAGGTTCAACTTATGTCAAAGAACCGAATTGATTGACCCCGACTCCACCTGGTACGAGTCTGTCCTACCCCTAGAGTGGTTTTATAGAGCCGGAGGCGCGTAGGGGGAGCAGCCTCCGCCTGCTGTAACAAATCGTAGGCATCGGACGAGGAGGGATGCCTGCGATTTGTTACGCTAAGGCGTAGAGGCTGCTCTTCCCGCAGAACCGGAGACGTAGCAGTCTCAAAATAGATCCTTCTGAATCAGTCCCCTTATTTTTTTATGATGAAGGGGATCTTTTTCTCATAAAATGGATTTATATTTATATTATAAATGCAAACATGAAAAAAATATCGATATTTTAGAAATCGATTTTTTGGGAATCGATACATCAGCTTACAATTCGAATCTATTTAAAAAATCAATCTTTTTCGGAAAGAATCAACATCCCTACTGACAATAATAATAAAAATGGCGTCAGTTTCACTTTCACGGTAGAAATTGACTAAATATTGCAAAATTATTTGATTTACAATATTTTTTTCTCCATAAGTACGTGTTTCCGCATATTGAAACTTTGTGTGTGTGCTTATAAAAATGTAATCTTTCTGTAAAAATACGTATCAACACCAAACTCGACTGACGTTAATGGAAAGTCGTACCACGCCGACTATCCAAACGCCGATTAACCGAATCGCCATTACCCATTATCCGAATCGGTCCTAAGCTTAATATAAAAAGTTAAAACCAAGTACTGTAAGTACATAATGTTACTTATTTACAGTACTTGGTTAATTGATATTAAAAATAACAGTGAAAAAATTTTAAGTTTTGTGACTGCGTTGGAAACTGGTGATCGATGTTCGCCGCGAAAAGTAATGAAAAAGCAAAGGATGAACAGCTTGAGAATGCTGTTTTTACGAGGTTTCTGCAGCAACGATCTATTGGACAACCGATTTCAGGACTGATTTTATGTGAAAAGGCGCGAATATACAGTAAAAAAATGGGTGTAGCTGATTTTACATTTTATAAAACTTTAAAGTTTATTCTATGTGTGACAGTTCGTTTTTCCATATTACATACCAGTCTATGTCCGATTATCCGAACTTTCGATTATCCGAATCGACCCCGGTCCCAATTAATTCGGATAATCGGCGTTCTACTGTACTTTATAAAATCTACAATACCTACTTAATAAAATAATCGTTCAATAATAATATTAGGCGACTATAATCCATACATATAAATAAAATTGAAGTGTCTATTTGTAATATTGAAATAACTTGACTAAGCGCAGGGGGCTCATTTGTATGCTACCAAGACATAAACAACCATATTTAAAAATTTGTAAGTATGTCTGTCTGTCCGGGCTAATCTCGTAATGGCTGAACCGATTGTATTAAAATTTCACCAACAGATAGAGAGCAATACCAGGAGTGATATAGTCCATATTTTATCCGAAAAACTTACGAGTAATATTTTTTTTTTTGAGAAATCGAAAAATTCATAAAATAAATGATCTTTGATGATTATCTTAAATCAGAAAGCTGGGGCGGGACGCTAGTATCTAATAAGAGTATAAGTAGATAGTTAAGTTTTTTTGTTAACTTATTCTTTCTTAAAACTTATTTTATAATTTTAGCTCTTGTCTACACATACACAACCGGAAGTAATTAATAATGGAGGAAGTATATCAGATTTTCCTGGAGCTAGAGCTCCCTACGTGACGGAGATGAAGTTTCTCAATGAAAACAGCTACGATCTCATCCCTATCTACCGAGTGATGGATAAAAACGGCGAAGTTATCGATAATAGGGAAGATCCCAATATCGATAAAGACACTCTTCTGCACATGTACAAAACGATGGTTCAACTGAGTCAAATGGACAAAATTTTATATGAATCACAAAGGTAATTTTAAACTACTAGGTAAACATGTATAGAAAGTGACGACAAACTTGCGGGTGAAATATGGTCGGATTTACTTACCTTTATTTTGCTTATAGTTTTATTATAAAACAACGATATCAACATAATATTATGTTTATTGTAATAGGTCGGGGAAAAAGTTTCTTCGTATTCCGAATGTATCGAATTTCTTCGTTAGATTCACTCATTTTGGCGGACAAAAAAAAAACAATTGAAAAATGGCGTGAAAGTGTTTTTTTTAATTTTAATTTTCTTTTTCTTAATGTCCTATATGTATTGATATTAAAACCAAGCAGATACAAACAGTACAACCAAAGATATTTTGATTTCTTATATTTTTAGCGAAGGCTACACATTAAATGAAACTAATTTTTACGGATTCTATCGCGTTTAATTTAACTTTTTAATTCCCGACGTTTCGGGTGCTTTACAGCACCCATGGTCACGGGGGGGCCTGAGGTGTTTGACGTCCCGATGTCATAGTTAGCCCGGTTACCTTCAGTTTTTGAGTATTAATTTTTGGTCCGATCTACGCAAAATAAGCTTACAGTATCTTGAAGTCTTGTAGTGGTATAGTTGGGTATTGGATTTAATTTTATTAATTATAGGATCCCAAGCAGATGGTAGCACTCATCCATCATCTTTTATTATTATTATCTTAAAGCGAGCTTCCATTAAAACATACTCCTTCCGACGACGACGGCTAGAAAGAAAGAAAGAAAAAAGAAACAGTTTATTTTAGCACATAATTGAAATATAACAATAAACTAATTTATAGCAAAAAACACATTGGTACTCGTACTATCACTTCGTACATTGGACAAATTAATTACATAATACTTAGATATTCATAGGTTATCTCAAAAATATTTTTAAACAATAGAGACTAATTTGTAACGGAAAAGTAAACAGAAAAAAAATTATATTAATGAAATATTATCAGGGTTGTTGGGGGTTGGGCATGACACGAATCTAATAATATATGTATTAGTTGGTTTCGTTACTCATGTGATTATAACGACCTCTGTTTCAGACAAGGACGTATTTCGTTTTACATGACCAACTATGGTGAAGAAGGAATTCACGTGGGGAGTGCATCTGCACTTTCCCATCGCGATTTGGTCTTTGCGCAATACAGAGAGGTTGGAGTATTTCTTTATCGGGGTATGACGATTACGGAGCTGGTTAACCAGTGTTACGGGAACTGCGAGGACCCCGGGAAAGGAAGACAGATGCCGGTCCACTACGGAAGCAAGCAGCACAACATCGTCACCATATCTAGCCCGTTAGGTAAGTCGCTTAGGTTGCCGTAAAAAAACCAATAGCATTTGACAGGTGGCAAAATAACCACCTTAATAAATATACAACAAAAAGTCCAATGGTTAAAACAGTAATTAAAAAAAAACTCGACTGCATAAAAAGAGAAATAAACTAAATTAGCTAAACCGAGAATTTTTTCATACCTACTCTTTATCACTTCCACAACTAAGACGAATTTATCGATACCCTGCATTAGAATCCATCAAGCTGTTTAGGCTACAGAGCGTGTCAAAGAAATAGACATTAATACATTCATATACATTCGAAAAACATTGCCCTCTTTTTAGGACATCGGTGTAAGAGACACAGAATCGGGGAGTGATGCCACTGCTGCCTGATTAAGTAAGCTTAAATCACTCTGCGAGCTATGAAGATGGCTTGCCCCTTCGTGATAAGTTTCGCATATAAAGCCCTTTTTTTTCGTAAGAAAATCCTCATGGATACCTTTAGCTGCGAGAAGGTTATGCGGGACTTCTACCGGCTAAAACCTCACGGTGGACGGTGCTCACCATCAGCGTAAACGAGGGGTCCCAGGTACAAAGCCGTACAGATCGGCAATCTGAAGTGGTAATGCGTAGGCTGTAATAGGAAAAACAAGCAACCGATGGCTAGGAAATTTTCTTGAGTGGCAGCCACGAAACGGCAAGCACAGTAGGACGGCTTTAAACTAGATAAACTGACAACCTGATGAGACGTGCACGGAAACGATGGATGTAAGATAAATTGAAATGTAGTTGCCAATCCGCCTGCCAAGCGTGTTAACTGAGGCAAAATCCTTCCAAAGAGTCAACCTATGGGAGAGGCCGTTGTCTTTTATAAGCTGTAATGAATAGATGGATCAAGCGACATATTTACAGGCTGCGAGGTTTTCTTTATTACTTATCTGATGTGACATGCATCTGTTCTTTATATGAAATGAACTGCAGGTGTTCTCGAGCTGCAGAGTGTACGTCGTTTGGCATTGAAAATATAATCATCATTATCATCCAAATACACCGTTTTTGTTTTCAGCAACTCAAATGCCGCAAGCTGTTGGGGCAGCGTACGCCCTAAAGCGGGTGCCAAACAATGATCGCTGCGTCATCTGCTACTTTGGAGACGGTGCAGCTTCAGAAGGAGACGCTCATGCTGCTTTCAACTTCGCAGCGACACTCGACTGTCCCGTCATTATGATGTGGTATGTACACAATAGTATAGACCACCTTCTCTATCATTGATTTGTAACTTTATGGTATACAATAAAAAGCAAAGACTTCTATGTAAAATAAAAGTCGAGCAGTACTAATACATTGCGTATTAAGTTATGGTCAATTCTCCATAACTTCTTTAGTCGACTGCAAGCGTCCGAGAAGACTAGTTCATTTTCATCATAAAAATCGAACTAACAAACGAATTTATCTGATGGTAATTGGCTACAGCTGTCAAGATAATTACGTAAATTTATTTCGTACTAGCTGTTCCCCGCGACTTCGCTCGCGTGTTAGGGTTTTTGTGTTTTGCGCGGAACCCTAATTCTTTTTCTAAAATAAAAGTAGCCTAAGTTACTCCGTATGAAATCAGCTACCTGCCAGTGAAAGTCCCGTCAAAATCGGTCCAGCCGTTTCGGAGATTAGCCGGAACAAACAGACAGACAGACAATTTGACTTTAGAAACAGACACTTGAATTTTATTTATTTGTATAGATTTGCTAATTTGCTAAAACTGTCGTAAATGAAAATACAACTGTCTGTCATATTTACCGAGTCAGCTGCCCGCGGTATGCCCACAACTGCGATAGTTTGTTTTCTGAACTGTGCGTCTAGTAGTATATATAAAATTCTTTGGGTAGAGTAGAGGATATATTTACACCACCATTGCACAGCATGTCATATCCTTCACATACGAGTACATAATCGTACAAAGTATATTTTAGAAGAGACAGTAGCTTAATGGCAGGGTTTGAACCGCGAACTCAAAAGGTTGTTGTGGGTTCGAATCCATCATTCGACTACTGTCGTGAACCATTCCTAACACAAACATGTTGAGCTTACTGGGAGTTCTTACAGGGAATAGCAGTGTAGTGTGTAGTGAGTAGTATTTTATTAAAATAAATATTGTACACAGTAGAAACAACGGGTATGCGATATCGACGCCCACGAGCGAACAGTACCGCGGCGACGGGATCGCCAGCCGCGGCCCAGCGCTGGGCATGCACACGGTGCGCGTGGACGGCACCGACGCGCTCGCCGTGCACAATGCGGTGCGCCGCGCCAGGGAACTCGCGCTAAACAACAAGCCCGTGCTAATTGAGGCTATGTCATATAGGTACTTATGATGTTACCCTTGCTTTTAGAATAGAATATAATAGAATCATTTTTATTCAATTTTGAAGTTTTATTCAGTATTGAATTACAAGTTGAAAGTCATTTAAGCTTTACCATTGGTTCGAAAGAAACCTCTGTCCTGGGAAGAACCAGCAAGATACCCAGCGGAATTCTTTTTAATCAAATTAATTTACAATATATTATTTTATACAATTAGTATGAAAACATTTAGAAACAGCAAGGTAGCTCGTTCCCAGCGGTTATAATTAACCATGTCGACTCTTTAGTAGTATTGTGTTATTTTATAATTTCATAATTTCAAACCTTACAAAATCCATTAATTAAATCTCATCGATATCGACTACCTGCTGTTACACACATCATTATGACGCTCCATTAGCCCAATAAGCGCGAGCGAGATAGACTGATTACAATGATTTATTGCCCGACGATTCAATTGATAACGCGGCAACTATTGAAATTTCTCCTGTATCCTTAAAGGAGTTCTACATATGCACATTAATATAACATGGACAAACAACCACACCGGGAAAAATTATTACAAATTCTACTTTTCCTTTTATAGAGTGGGCCACCATTCTACATCAGACGACAGTACCGCATACCGGCCAGTTGAAGAAATACAGAAATGGACGAAAGAAGAGAGCCCCATTCAGAAACTGAGACTTTACCTTGAGCGCAAAGGTATATTGCATTGTATTATATTTATGTTCATTTGTTCTCTGAGGATGCTTGCGTAAACACCAAGTCAACTTCATATCATGTCAACAAAAATAAATAAATTTGAATGACATGCATTCCGTTGGCATCTACTTCTTTCATCTATTAGGTGTATCCTATTTTTAACTAACGGAAAAAATTCATTCGTTAGTGGAAGAGTCGGTACTAAGTATAATTGATTTTAAGACATGCTCCATGTTTTATAAGTTTTTTATAGAATAAAAGTGACAAACCAACATCTATATAAGTGGGGGTATTTTGCAATAACCGACTAAGTATGGAGAGAAGTTTCAGAATAAGTAAAATAGGCAAATGGTGAAGAAAAATTAATAAAAGAATCTCAAACATTCTATCCTCTTTATTTTTGAAATTAAAAATGCGAGGTAATGCATTATTTTAACTGATTTTACAGCGCACACACACATTTGTAAGGGTCGATTGGTAGGCAAAAACGTTGTTGCATATAAATAATAAAATTTAAAATTTGGGATAACAGTTAAAAGTAGATGCTTTATTTGCTCGTATTTTTAAAAACTGCAATAATGGCACATCATTATCTATATATTTGAACTTATGTTTAAAATTTATCTATTCTGATTCTGTATAAGTGCTAGTGCTAGGTAAGTGAATGCATGTAGAATATAGGCTACAGACATCCACATATATCTTCGATAATAATCAAAATGCAGATGCGTTGTCACACCTGAGGACTAAAATAGAATGTCTAGTTTCCAATAAAATGGGGTCATCGGTTCTCTACACTCGGCATTCACCATACAACACAGCATGGTCTTTCCCCGGTAGAGCTGAACCATTCGTACTGCAACCATAATAGCTGCAGCGTGGCTCTACCACGTGAATTTGAAATTGCTTATATCAATCCTCAATGTTTAATAACTGCCAAAGTGTTAGCAGTGCATTTATCACATCTATAAGCAGTTCATTTGTAAATTTTCAAATGTCTTTAACAATCCCATATATAACAAATCCCTTATATGTCATATTATTTCAGCATTCCAATGCGTATTTCGAAATCCTATCAAGCTTAATTAAGTTAATCAATTAATAAATTAAACAATTAATCTTTTCTTCATGACCATTTCTGATGAAGGTTTTGATTTTGTTAAATAGACTGTTTATTCAAATTTAAGACTTACGTTACAACTTACTATTGACTTTATACTGAGTTGCATTTTCTACCGACTTCAAACAGGAGGAGGTACTCAATTCGAATGTATGTTTTTTTTTTATATGTGTTACCTCATAACTTTTTACTGGGTGAATCCATTTGGATGATTCTTTTTTTTTATTAGAAAGCTGGTGCTTCGGACGTGGTCTCATATAATAAGGTCTGACCAATAGTTTTTGAGTTATTCTTAATAATTTACATTGAAGTCGGTTGGACAAAATTTTAAATTATAAAATTAACTTTAAAGGCTTTTGGGACGCTGACGCCGAGAAGCAGTGCGTTAAGGAGGCGAGAGACACGGTCGTTAGAACTATGCAGGAGGCGGAGAAGAAGAAGAGGCCGCACTGGAAGGAAATGCTGGAAGATGTCTATTATGACATGCCTCCAAGGCTTCAGTGAGTGCTTGCCATTTTTATTATAAGAAATGTTATGCCAGCTCTACACTGTCTGTCCAACTCAACGCTCTCTGTGTCCATGTTGCATTGCAGTTTGCATAGGCTAAATGATTTGGCCAGGTTCACCCCGCGATCAGCGGTGTTGGTAGTAAATCTTCACTGCCAAGGTACCTGAATGACGTCGCTGAGTCCGTACTGGACTGTTACACTGTTTTATTTTATCAATAAAATATGGATATTTTTTATTGAATATATATTACATTTAGTTCTTATTGAAAGTCATTTTTTACTTTTACAACTGGTTCGGAAAAAACCTCTGTCCTGGGAAGAACCAGCAAGAAACCCAGCGATACCTTTTTTTAAATAAAATTAATTTATTTTTTATAAAAAATTTTTTTTCGAAAAATCCCGGTAAGATTTGGGCTAACGTTTGAACTACGGTTGGATAATTGTATAGCGCCAGCAATAACATTCTTACCTTTATATACGCAAACACAAGTCGAGAGAATTTTTCGATTATTCGGTATTTCGTAATATCTGATTATTGTCAAAAAAAATTGTTAAACTGCCAGGTAGTTGTCGAAATAATGGAAACACGTCCTCCTTTAACCAGCCAGTCTGACGGGAGGTGATGTCCTAGATGTTTCCGGGACAATAAAGACTAAATAAAAACTATTATTAACACATATATATTAAAACTAATCAGGTTATTCATTAAGCTGAACAGTCAGTCAGTGCCAGTATAACTAAATCATAAAATAGACGAGACTAACTTTTTTATAAATATTAAGTGACAAACAAAGTTGCAGTGCACCTGATGGTACTACTGCAATCTATGGAGACCTGCCACCAACTTCAACCGAAGAAGGATACAGATACGTTTATACGTTTTTACGTGGTAGAGCCATGCTGTAGCTATATTACTGATGTAGTTGCAGCACGAATGGGTCGGCTCGACCGGGAAATGACCACGCTCTCACAGAATACCATCGTAAAATAGCAGCTTAACGCTACTGTGTTTCGTATGGTGAGTGTAGAGAACCGGAAACCCTTTTGACTGGAAACGAGGCATTCCATCTTAGTCCTCAGGTGTGACAACGTATCTGCATTTTGATTCTTTATTGAGGATAGATGTAGATGTCTATGGGTCACAGCAACCACTTACCATCAGGTGGACTGTGTGCTCGTTTGTTGCCTCTTATCCTATAAAAAAACTGGGTATACCTTTCTGAACGGAACATAGCAGTGCTTGCTTGGGGGCGGGAATAAACTGCTACATAAATAATACTGGTAATACTAATGATATGTACTAACTAATAATTTTGATAAAAAGTAAAGTCAAAGTTGTTTCCGAGAGTGTTTCAATGAAAAAATATATATCTATACATATAATAAAACTGTAAATAGCAGATGTCTGTACATTTTATATTTTTGTAATAAAAGTGATTGAGGGGTACTAAAAATAAGTAATTAAATACATTTCTACCATTTTTAGAATTTTCTGTCTGTCTGTCTGTCTGTCTGTCTGTTTGTTTGTTAACGTATCACGTATAATGTACTAATTTATATTATAAGAATTGTTAAGGAAATTATAAAGTGTATCTTCGGGTTACATTTAGTCTTTATTTCATTAAAATCAGTTCATTCCATCAAAAGTTATGATAAATATTCTGAAGTATGGGTAGGGAAGTATAGGTACGAATTTGCTCAACGGTGGCTTTGTTTGAGTCATCAGGTGCATTTTAAACTAATATCATATCATAAATCATAGTTAAATTATGTAAAATAATGATATAATTATGTATATCTAAAACGCAGTAAACAAAAGTATTAAAAACGTATTAAATATATTATACAATAATATATTAACCTTATTAACTAAATCTGAAGCACAATAGTTTTCCCATTTCTTCGATAGATGGTGGTGTTGTGAAAATGTAATGCAATTACAATGTATTTTTTTTTTCCTGTAGATGAGTTTTCATATTTACTGCTAATCTTTATTATATTACTCGCTGCCCTACTGCGTGTTGATAAACTCAATTTATTCTTTACCGCCGAGTACTCTATGTGGTAAATCAAATTTTAAAAGAGCTATTAACAAATCGTTGGTTTTGGCGAGAGTCAAACTTTATTTTTTGCTTACTGTGCAGGCACTGATTTATAAGTACTCTTGCGTTTTATATAATGTATCAATCGCGTCAATTAATCTCTTTTATTTTTAGAATTGATGTTAGCAGCGCCATCTCTCTTTAAATATATACATATAATAAAAATGATGATAACATATTGTGTCTCTTTCTGTACATTGTATAGGTATATATTTTGGTGGCTAAAATCATTATGGGGAACTGAAAATAATTAAATAAGAACATTTTATAATTTTTAGAATTGTCTGTCTGTCTATTTGTCTGTTATTATATGAACGCATCACGTCTAATGTAAACATCTTTTATTTTCAAAGAAATCGTTAAGAAAATCATAAATCGTATCTTCGAGTTACATTTAATCTTTGTTTTATTAAAATTGGTTAATTCTATCGAAAGTAATGATTATTATTTTGAAATGTAGGTTCGAATTTGTTCAATGGCGCCATAAAATCTCAGAAATAGTAATAAAAAGATTTGTGTGTAAAAAAACGTTCCATAATATTTAATATATTTATATTTAAAACACAAAAAGAGATTTAAAAAGAATGTTTTCTCACACAAAGGACGTAATAGATGGAGTTGTACAAATTACAAACTTTTCTGAATTGCTGTGTTGAGATTTTTCGCCGATGAATCGTATTGAGACTTACTGAAGAAATTTGTATCCATCGAAGCCATACAATGGAATCCGACCAAAAATAAAAATTTTGCAACGAAATGTCGTGATATTGTATTTATAATATACGCAAAATCAGTACTGCCACTTTAGTGCTTTGGGAACTAGATTTAGCGCTTTTTTGGAATGTATAGCGCGCATTTCGAAATTTTAGCCCTAGCTTAATCCAGCGCTTTTTGGTGTATTTAGCACACATTTCAATATTTTAGCGACTAGCGGGTTATTAACTCTTTTATAGCAGCACTGTTAGTCCACATTACCGATAATAATAATAATGACCTTTATTATTTTTTCCCACAAATAGTACATTGCAGTTTATCTTTTTCAAACATATTTTTTCCACAAAACAAAGAGCATGGGAGACGAGTCCAAACTAGGATACCCTGTGCTATGGATCTCCTGGCTTCCCCTTTAGGATGATCAACTTGATTTTTTTACCGACGACTATAAGCGGGGAAACCCCTTTATTAAAGTTTTTGTTCATGGTTTTGGCAACGCATTTATTTTGCTTTATTCAGTTTCAGTCAGTTGCTTAGAGCACAGCTAAGTTAAAAGTTACTTAGAAGTTATAACACAAAGAAACTGTGTAGCAACCGCAATCAGATGCTGACATCTGAAACTAAGTTGCGAAATACATTGCACTTTAAAACAATTAATGACATTTTTATTGTTCGTACAGTACTAACTACTGTTGACAGCAATTGCCATAATTATAAGTCGTTGTCCTGCGAAGTATTGATACATCAAAAAAATATTGCCAGAAAAAAAACTTAATGTTGTTTTCTTTATTATGATTATATAAAAAAACACAAACTTTGTTTGTAGTTAATTTAGCGCGAAATCTAGGGCTGTTTTAAAGCGCTGTTTTCATGAAATCTAGCGCTTTTTGTGTTGTCCTAGAGCTGAATTAGTTTTTTTTATCTGGCAGCACTGCCCAAAAACCCTCTATTAAGAAGTAACTTTCCTTTCAGTTTTAAGCGCGTTCAGTTCCCAGTTACAGTGAGCGTGTGTTATGCGATGACCGTAAATAAAGCGCAAGGTCAAACTTTACGCGTTGTAGGAGTGTACCTCATTACTGACTGTTTTGCACATGGCCAACTCTATGTTGCTTTTTCCCGCGTTAGTAGCCCCCGTAACCTTTTTGTGTACACCCCGGCTAAGCCTACTTCTAACGTCGTTTACACAGAAGCTCTATCATAAACGACTTAGAACTTTGATGATAATGATTTATTTAGTTACCACTTATTGATACAGTAATGAAATAAATCGTTTAATATTCTCTTACCTAAACGACAAATTGTTTATGTAAAACCTGTATACGCGAGCTACGCCGCGGGCACAGCTAGTATATATATATATATGAAAGTAATATATATATATATATATATATATTACTTTTGCTGCAACACCATATGTCAATATGCCAATCCCATATGTTTATCTCTGCTTAGCCTAATGGTTGACTGAGAGAGAATGCCTTAAGGCGTTAAGTCCGCCATATGTACGATTTTTCTTTTGTGCATAAAATAACTTGGTTTTAATTACTACATTTTTTTCCCAGGAAACAAATGAATCAAATGGAGAAGCATCTGGAGAAATATTCAGAGCACTACCCACTTAATCAGTACCAACAAGATTGATGGTTGTTACAAGATATAATGCGAAATAAATCTCATTTGTGTCAGTGATTGAGAAGTGAATCTTAAAATTGTTTTATACGAAATAAAGATATATTTGTATTACAGAATGTTTCTTAAAATTTTCGTGCCCGACTGCCATAAAAGGAAGTTTATTTTTCGGGTGTACGAAAGTATGTTTGACCTTCTATAGTAAAAGTTAGACTAGCCAAAACAAATAAAACTTTTAACAATTATACATTGTTCAATAGAAGATATGATATCATAAAGCCATCTAAGAGAAGTTATTTTAAACGTAGCTTATATGTTAAGGCCTATTACAAAATTGAGGACTTAAGTAGTCGTCAATTTTGTAAAAGGGCCATCAATCAATTTCATAAAAGAGGAATAAGGAAAATAAAATTCTCTTTCGTTGAGTGATCGACTAGTACGGGTGTAATGATACATTAAAATGTGTGATAATTAACACATATCATAGAAGGAACAACGACCACATGTTTTCTGCAGATTCTTCTCTGTAGAGAGGTCACTTTTGACCCTGTTGATAGATTTTTATACTTAGTTATAGCAGTTTTATTTGAGCCTGAAATTAATAAAATATTTTTTTTTTACTTTTAATTGCGAGATATCGTCAGATTCGGCTTCACTCCTGGTATTTTATAATTAGATACAGTGATAATATTATCGCTAACTTTTAATTAATGCTTGCTTGTAGGGTATTCTGACGAGCGCCTCATATTGTTGGTTACTTAGAGTAAAGACTGAAGTATCCTTAATGTTCATATAAATCACTGCATAACACAGTAGTTGGCGGTGGCGAAGCCGCCATAGAAGCCGAGAAGCCGGTCTTGCCCTATCAAACTGCTTCATGAATAATATCAATGAATAAAATAACTCTTAAACTGTTGCTGTTCGTAAACTATCGCTCCTCCACGCAATGGACTGTCAAAATTAATCATCTCGGCAAAACTGCGCGATACTGCTGTCATAAAAAGGAGTTGACTTGGGCGATTAGTCGTCTCTCTCGCACGAGTGGGCTTTTTACCCGGCTTTCAAGAAGACGATCGATCCTTTTCTAACCTGTGGCAAAATGTTCTATAATGAAATATAACTACGATTGTTTATATACTAATTAGTATGGAGCGATAAGCCTGGCTTTAGTTATGAAGTTAGTCGAGCACTGGGGCGCGCGAGCGATACGTTGTTACGTTTGCAACTTCACTCCGCATTTCAATGTTTACTCTATGTGTTTACTTTAACGCTTTTTTAAAGATTTCTAGTGAAAATGGAGGATAATAGTGATCCTTGTGATGAATTGAAGTGTGTTAAAATGCTAATTGGCGAGGGAAAGGTAAAATCTTTAAACTTTGTTCAGAAAAAACAGCTCCTATTCACATTAACAGTTATTGGTACCATTAAAACGTTCATCAACATTTTACGCAGACGAAATAGAAACGATTCTATTTAGAATATAAATATATTTTTTTTTAAATTTGTACATACTTTGTTTGTATTTTGTTCATATATTGTATTATATGTAAATATCTTCTTTTTTTCGCTCAAGCAAACCCAAATGGCTTTTTTCCAAGCAATCGAAGGTGTAGTATACCTTCTGTGTGAAACTGAAGAGTGGAGACAGATCAAGATTGATCTATTTTTATAAAACTGCTAAAACAACAAAACCATATCTTGGGCTTGCCCTAGTTTGGAGCCCTAGCTTCGCTACTGGTAGTTGGGTATTATGTTTAAAAAATTACTAAGTTATTCACATGCTTAACAGTAAACGATAAAACAAATAATAACTTAAAATTTGTTTTGTTCCATTGGCACCTATCCACGTTACCGACCAACATCTGCCAACATTATTGCCAAATATAGTTATTTATAAAAAGTATTTTGTAAAGAAGTTTATTTTTTTTCACTTACCATCAGGTGAGCCGCATGCTCGTTTGCCCCCTCTCCTATAAAAAAAAATTATTAGAGCCGTGGTAGCTCAGGTGGTTAGCGCTCGCAATTTTAAGTGCTGATTTACCACGTGCTTGGCGGTGAAGGAAAACATCGTGAGGAAACCTGCATGTCTAAGAAATAAGAAAAAAAATATTTCGAAGACATGTAAAGTTCGCCAACACGCATTGGGGCAGCGCGGCGGACATTTCCTTGCCCTAAAACCCTCTCAGAAATGAGAGGAGGCCTGTGCCCAGCAGTGGTACGTATATGGGCTGTAACTTTACTTTTTATGTAATTTATTGCGCGGCGTAGAAATGTATATTATAGGGTTTTTATCTTCCGAGATTTTTTTAGAGGCCTCATTAGTAGCAAGTTTATGCAGATAATTTTTTTATTTGAAAACTAGCTAATACCCAAGACTTCGTCCGAGTTCTTAAAACTTTAATAACTGTATATTAAATAAAGATAACGAAATATTTTTTACTAACTTGACTGATGTTGCCGTGTAGTGGCGGTTAAGAATATCCACTACCACATATATTCCCGTGGGTGTCGTAAAAGGCGACAAAGGGAAACAGGCAGGAGATGAGCAACAGCATCTTCCTGATAACAGCAAAAGTACAATAAAAAACCTGCGGTTGCCAACCCGCTCGCCAAGCGTGGCGACTATGGCAAATACCCCCCTGTGAATGTAACAAAAAGATGGCCCCCAGTCCCCGGCGGCCCCGCTATTCCTGGCTACGGTGGCGACCATGGTAACGGCGGGGCAGGGGGTGCCAAGAATCTCAGGTGGAGGTTCGGTTGCCACCTAAGACACTCGACCTGGCAACATACAACGCACGCATCCTGAGGACTGACGAGAAAATCGTGGAGCTGGAAGAAGAGATAGACAAGTTACGCTGGCATATTATAGGATTATCCGAAGTCCGAAGAGAGGGGGAGGACACGGTAATCCTCGAATCCGGAAACTTGCTCTATCTGTCCCAAGGAGGTGTCAGATTTATCGTCCACAATTCTCTCGTTAACAACGTTGTAAACATTGAGAGTGTGACGACGAGGGTTGCGTACCTTATACTCAGAATCACCAAACGGTATTCGCTGAAGGTCATACAGGACTTCATGGAGAAAGAGGGACACTTTATGATGAACTCTTTCTTCCAGAAGCATCCCCACAGGAAGTGGTCCCGGTCGAGCCCCGACGGTTCCACAAAAAATGAGATTGACTTCATTATGACGACCAGACGACAACTGTGAACTGACACGTCATCGTTGGAGCCACACGCAAGTGTGAGTAACGATCCAAGAGCGAGTCTTATCCGACACTATTCCGATAATATCCCGGACGTCAGTCTGAGCGAGATTAGAATGGCTCTCCAGCACCTTAAAAACGACAAGGCCCCAGTCGAGGATGGAATTACAGCAGAGCTTCTGAAAGCGGGTGGAAAACCGGTACTTGAAGTCCTTCAGAAGCTCTTTAATTCCGTCCTCCATGGTGGCATTACACCGGAGGCGTGGAGCAGAAGTGCGGTGGTCTTGTTCTTCAAGGAAGGCGGCAACGCTCTCTTGAAGAACTACAGACCGATTTCCCTTCTGAGCCGCGTCTACATGCTGTTTTCGAGAGTCGTTACAAATCGTATAACAGTGGTAGAGCCACGCGACAGCTTTTGCTTTCGCACGGATGGGCCGGCTCGAACCGGTGTGGTACCACGACCTCACAGAAAACCAGCGTGAAGTAGAGGTTTACCTCTGCGTTTCGCTTGGTGAGTGCAGGTGGCCGCAGGCCCTTTTTACTGGAAATGAGGCATTCCATCTTAGTCCTCACGGGTGACAACGCATTTACATTTTGATTTGTAATAGAGGATAGATGTAGATGTCTATGGGCCGCAGCAACCACTTACCATCAGGTGGACTGTGTGCTCGTTTGTCACCCTTATCCTATAAAAAAAAATCGTCTCGCGCGCAGACTTGACGACTTCCAGCCTCCAGCACCATAGACCACATACATACCCTTCGGCAAGTTGTACAGTACAAGTCCGAGGAGTACAATTTGCCACTATGTCTGGCGTATGTGGACTATGAGAAAGCGTTTGATTTCGTCGAAATTTAGGCGATGCTGCAGTCCCTTCAGTGGTGCCAAGTTGACTGTCGGTATATCGAAGTGCTGAAGTGCTTGTACGGTAGGGCTACGATTGCTATCCGAGTACAGAACCAGAATACGAAACCTATCCAATTGCAGAGAGGTGTAAGACAGGGTGACGTTATATCCCCGAAACTCTTCACCGCTGCATTGGAAGACGTTTTCAAGCTTCTGGACTGGAAAGGATACGGTATTAACATCAATGGCGAGTACATCACTAACCTTCGATTTGCCGACGATATAGTCTTTATGGCAGAGTCGCTGAAGGAACTAAGCACCATGCTCAATGACCTCAATAGTGTCTCCCAATGGATAGATCTTAAGATGAACATGGACAAAACAAAGATCATGTTTAATGTCCATGTCACACCTATGCCGGTAGTTGTTGGGAGCACTAAGCTTGAAGTTGTTGACGAGTATGTTTACCTGGGACAAATAGTCCGACTAGGTAAGTCCAACTTCGACCGAGAGGTCAATCGACGGATTCAACTCGGCTGGGCAGCGTTCGGGAAACTACGACACATCTTCTCGTCAGACATACCTCAAAACCTTAAAACGAAATTGTACAACCAGTGCGTGTTGCCAGTGATGACTTACGGATCTGAGACGTGGTCTTTCACTGCTGGCCGTATGAGGAAGCTTAAGGTCGCTCAGCGAGCTATGGAGAGGGCTATTCTCGGAGTTTCTCTGCGTGATAAACTTAGAAATAAGGATATCCGCTGTAGAACCAGAGTAACCGACATAGGCCAACGGATTAGTAAGCTTAAGTGGTAGTGGGCCGGCCATATAGCTCGAAGAACCGACAACCGATGGGGAAGAAAGGTTCTCGAGTGGCAGCCTGGTACCGGTAGGCAAAGTGTAGGGCGACCCCCCACGAGATGGAGTGACGACCTGGTAATACATGCAGGAAGTCGATGGA